ACATACCTGTGATTTTCTAATGATCCTGAAGACATTGATTAGCATGCTCAGGTGTGTTTGATTAGGGTTAGAGCTAAACTCTGCAGGAAAGTGGATCTCGTGGGCCAGATTTGAGGATCCCTGGTCTACATGCTAAACTTAACCCCTTAACTGTCACCCCCCATTTTTTAAAATAGGCATGCAGTTGCAGTATCCAAACTTAAATTGTTGTAATTTATGAACACTTTGGAATACAGACATAATTTTGGTCTCTTTTTAAAGAAGAAACTCAACAGATTATCTATAATTAAAAATTAAAGTATCAAAAAGTTATGGTAGTTTAAATGTACTGTAAAGAAAATGCACTATATACATTTTATTTTATATATAATACATATTTTACATAACAGGTTTTACTCTAAAATTGGTAGAAAATTAAAGCCTTATGTCTAAATAAGTCATGTTCCAAATTTGAAGTTGATATGAAAAAAATTGAGGTTCCTGTGAGATTTTATTTAGGGCGTTATACCACAAACAGCCAACGGGTGCCTTTCCAAACTTTTTTTAATGCATTTTTCTGTCACAAATGTCTAGATTTCTCTGTCAATATTACTTCTATCTCAGAATATGGAATCCTGAGACTCAGACCTTTCCAATTATATGTTTTTTGTCAAGATTATAAAAAGTTTTGATTGTAAAAGAGGGTAATGCATTTTTGTAATATGACACTTGACACCGCCCACTAAAGGGGAGGAGACCGCCAAAAGATTTTAAAGTACCATTTCCATGGTAACGCAATGTCCAATTTCAAAATGGTTTTCGCAGGATGAATCTTGGGCTTCTAAGCTTTCAAATTATATATGAGTTATGATGATTACTAAAAGATTTGATAGAGAAAAAGGAAAACAAAAAAAGAGTGCCAAGCGTCCCACAGGTGGGACGGTGACAGTTAAGGGGTTTGTATTATGCCTACAGTTCACGGACATTGTTTTTAATGGGAGATTCTTCCCCATCTTACCCTACACGTATATATAGGGGAGATGAAAGAATATTCTCCCTTATAGTGTGCATTTACTGCTAAATCATAACATATCTAGAGATGATTTTTAGCATGATAATATCCAGTGTGTTAAATGACGAAATAAATACGCTTGCCGATTTGGTTTTAATTGCACAAAGTAAAAAAAAAAAAAAAAAAGCACAAACGTAGCCTATTTATTTATGCAGAATATAAATATAAAATACATCTGGTATCACTTTTATTAATATTTCTGAAAAGGGTAAAATATTCAATCAACTATATTCTGTAATTTTACAATTCGGTTGAAACTGAATGACTACAAAATTAATGTAAACACATTTAAAAGCACCATTCTATAAATTATACAGTTGTGCCAAGTTTCTTTTAGTTTTTTTAATAATAAATTATAAAATACATTTAATTGAGTACTGAATAAGATTTTTCACAGATGTTTGCATATATGCTAAAACACAAAATAATACCTGAATGGACAAGATTATATGGTTCGTAAGTTTCTTCTTGGTGTGTCTAGTGTGTGTAAATCCACTGTGTGGCAGTAGATGTTCATTTTCTCTGGTTTCAGGTCTCATCACTGCTCTATCGGGACTCCTCGACTGGTCTTCAAGGAGAAGAAGGGTGGATGAATGCTCACTGATCTTCACTGAAGTGTGTGCTGTTTTTTTACTCTGTTCCAGACTGCTGTGTTTTTATGTATTGATTCAAGTTAATTATGTGCTGTGTAGATTTAGTCACCATATTGGCTGTTTAAACATGCTATTGTGTTGACAGTATAGCTTAATCTTTATTTTTTGTTTATTGTTGGATAACTCTGGTTGTTGTTTTTTTAAATAAAAAGCTTGACCATTTGGTAGCTGCTGGTAATTTTTTGGCAAATCCAACATCTTCACACATTTCACTCCTAACAGTGCCTGTTGAGATGTGACATTTTAACTCATGACATTCAGTGATGCTCAAGGCAAGACTTTAAAAAGTTTCCATGACCTTCAGACTTAGACATTGTAGTTCAGTAGCTAAAGGTGGATATCCTGATGCGATAAATAAGCTATAAAATAAGCCATTGACTTCCATGGCTACTTTCATCTGTTTGGTTAGCCTACTAACATTCTTCAAAATATCTTCTTTTGTGCTCAACAAAGAAAAGAAACTCATACAGGTTTGGAACAGCTTGTGGTTGAGTAGCCCAAATGATTAGGCTACAGAATTTTCATTTTTGGGAGAACTATCCCTTTAACCCGCTGGTCCTCTTCGTTTGGGAGTCACACTTGGCTCCTTCACTGTCAAAAGTGACTGATGCCTTGAAATGTAACTTCCTTTTTTTCTTCAGGAAAACCAATTTAATAAATTTTTGTTAAATAATATTTTTTGATTATTATTTAGGGGATTCTAAGATATTATGCAATATTTATACAATTTTAATTAGCTATTCTTCCCCACAAGAATTAATATATTTTTATTTAAGAAATTATTATTTTCCAATAATTGGATTCCCAATGTTGTTTTTTTAGACATACTTTCTTAATTTTATTAGTTTTTGCTTTTAGATATATATTTACACATTCTAAAAGACTACTTTTTGTCAAGGTTTAAATATTTTTGGTTAGATAAATATCAGGTTTTGCCTTATGATTACAATCAAACATTGTATGTGTGTGTGTGTGTGTGTGTGTGTGTGTGTGCGCGCGTGGGTGTCTATTTTGCACTCTTTATATTTTAGAGTGTCACCCCTTGATTGCTGTGCACTTTTTTTCTGCAACGTGGGTGATTTGTAGTTTGCACCACCAAAAGATTCTCTGAGTTGTATTTTTTTGTATTGTATTTCCCATTTATTTCCTATGTCGGTCATTTTCGACTGGGAAGGAGCCAAGTGTGACTTTTTTTTTGTTGACCCTTTAACATATCCGAATCATGTCCATGATTTTTTTGTGTGTTCACATAGCTAATGCAACAAAAGTCACCAAGTGTCATCTCATTCCAATAAAGCTACGATTTAAAAAATTTCAAAATATACATTTTTTTCGAATTTTTGACCGAAGAGGCCCAGAGGGTTAATCATACAGTTCAATCAATATTTTAACATAGGTAGGCCTACATGATTACTGACATTATGTTTTATGTGTACAGCCAGACATAGGCGTAATTTGCGGGTGGGACGGGTGGGACATATCCCCACCACTTTTTGCCAGGGTCGATATTGTCCCTACCACTTTTTGAAAGTAATTGAAAAATATATTGCGGAAGGTATGTATTAAACCCCCCCCCCTCAAAATTGGACTTATAAACTCGCAGTTGCGAGTGAGAAAAATAGTCCGAATTGCGAGAAAAAAAAGTCAGAATTGCGAGAAAAAAGTTAGAATTGTGAGATATAAACTCGCAATTTGCGAGAAAAAAAGTCAGAATTGCGAGATATAAACTCTCAATTGCGAGAAAAAAGTCAGAATTGCGAGAACATAAGTCAGAATTGCGAGATATAAACTCGCAATTGCGAGAAAAAAAGTTAGAATTGTGAGATATAGGCTAAACTCGCAATTGTGAGAACATAAGTCAGAATTGCGAGATATAAACTCTCAATTGCGAGAAAAAAGTCAGAATTGCGAGAACATAAGTCAGAATTGCGAGATATAAACTTGCAATAGCGAGAAAAAAGTCAGAATTGCGAGAAAAAAGTCAGAATTGCGAGAAAAAAGTCAGAATTGCGAGGATATAAACTCGCAATTGCGAGAAAAAAGTCAGAATTGCGAGAACATAAGTCAGAATTGCGAGATATAAATTCGCAATTGCCTGAAAAAAGTCAGAATTGTGAGAAAAAAGTCAGAATTGCGAGAACATAAAAAAAAACTCTCAATTGCGAGATAAAAACTCTCAATTGCGAGAAAAAAGTCAGAATTGCGAGTTTTTATCTCGCAATTGTGACTTAATATCTGGCAATTCTGACTTTATATCTCACAATTTTGTGAAAAAAAGTCCGAATTGTGAGATAAAAAGTCGCAATTACCTTTTTTTTTTCTTCTTTTAATTCAGTGGCGGAAACGGGCTTCCATAGAAACGGGCTTCCATACCTTATGCTATGGAGGCTCTCTTTTTTGGGGGGATTCCTCAGTGTTTGCTAAACATTCTGTAATTTATTAGTCATCATATAGCCTAATACAGCGTGTAGGCCATGCCTCATCTTATTCGTTTTTGTTAATAACGTTTTGTAAGCTAGTTTGTCATTGAATACTGTTTTATTGTTGTTGTGCATTTTAATTAAAAATAATGAATCCATCTTTTTTTTTATTTTAGTCTTAAAACGTGAAAGGTGTATAGATGTAAGCAAAACAGACAATGATATTTTATTGTAAAACCTGACAAGCTCGTGAAATCGAAAGTGAAAGCATCCGAAGCACGGCTTATAACATGTCAAAAGAGGAACTCCCATTCACAAAATTCTAATCACAAATAATACTACTGATGAAAAAGAACGGGTTGAATGTTAACTACTTTCGTTTCCATATAACTATAAACTACGATAAAAGTTCATCAGTGTGCATTGATTAACAGCATGTTGTAGCAAAAAAAAACAGTGCTGGTGCAGCCAACTGAGAAAGTTAATAGCAAAAGAGCAACCAGTGGGAAGAATGAGTCTGGAGCCCTGAATTGCCCAGCTCCCCCTGTCAATGATCTACATGCGTTCAAAATTCTTGAAAAGCAAAAATTAAGTTTGTTCAACTCTAAACCCAGTCCCCAAGTAAATTAGGTTATTAAATAAAAAACTAGCAAAACGAGTTGCGCGGTGTCCCCACCACTTTTCAAAGCAAAGTTACGCCACTGCAGCCAGAGGAGAATAGGTCCCTTGGTGTGTAACCCGACCAGGCGCCTTGTAGTCACTCAACCGGTGCAGTCCTCCTCCGAGACGAGTCCACACACTTTGGTGACGTAATGCGTAGTCCTCTGTGAGAGAGACACACTGCGCATGCTCAGTATCCTCCTCGTTCCAGAGGGAATCATCGAGCGCCTTCATTGCTGGCGACATTCTCAACAGTTCATGAGCTGAAGTCAGTTCCTCTGCGATCCTCGTAATGGACTCTCAGAAAGTAAGTGGCAAACAGTTAAACTAATTATATAGTGTCGAAAAGCTGAAATGTCTCAGCGGCCCATTGTGATGGAATCATATTACTCTTATCATGTCGCTTTTATACGCAGCACCGTTAATAATCGTCCGGCTCTGTAAATAGACTGCTTTACATTCATACCAATGAAACGTTAAACGAATGCTATATTCAATGTAGGTGTCAACTGGTCTTGAGGCCTTTATGAATTGACATTGGCGTTTTAAAAATAGTGTTTGACCTGTAGCTGTAGGCAGCTATATTCATGAAGAGGATTTATATTAAACCGAATCTGGCACCCATGTGTTTTGTGTTGCCGGCTGTAAAAATGTTACCTTAATGTCCCGTGTTACGTTACATTGGACTGAGCCCTTGTTACATAACACGAATAGGCTATATTCTGTGCTATACATAAATTACAGTAGCTCAACGTTGTGCCCCAATCTGTAAAATGTGTTATTATGTTGATGAACGATACAAATTATATTTATTTATTTATTTTATTTAGTCATTTAGCAGAGGTTTTTATCCAAAGCGACTTACAAATGAGGACAATAAAAGCAGTCAAAACTAACAAAAGAGCAACAATATATAAGTGCAAATGACAAGTCTCGGTTAGCCTAACACAGTACACGTAGCAAGGTATATATATATATATATACACACACACACACACACATATTATATATATATATACATACATACATATATATATATATATATACACACATACATACATACAAACAAATGAGAGAGAGTATATAATGAGAGAGTAAAATGACTAAATATTAACATTTAACCAGCATTACTGAAAATACAGGTTAAATAAGTGTAGTAAGTATGCCATAGGTTTTTGTAATTGCAGAGCACCTGCGCTCCCATGTTTACTTAGTAAAAGTAGATAAAGAGAGGAGAAGGGACATCAGGCAGGAATAAATAATAACCGCGTGCACATGAACAGAAACCGATCTCTAAACACACACATAACATTTAATTCCTGCTTACTATGCAATTCTTCCACATTATGTTATGATAGCTGTGATAGACCTTTGAGGAGGCAGTCAAAGTCATCTTTGTCTTGAGTGTTTGCATAGGTGTGTTGCGTCTCTGTATATTAGTGAATGTTCCTACTCTCCTTGGCAGTATTAAATGCAAGTCATGTTGAGAAGTTTAATATGGTGTGTAATGACTAATTATAATGCAGTAATTATTATGCAGCTTCGTTGTGGTCATGCTTTTATTATTGAATCAATTGGGAGAGTATTGTATATAAATAACCCTGGAAATACACACATGTGCATTTTTGCTGTGTCTGGGCTAATCGAGGAAGGGGATAGCACACAATCTGAGTGCAATCTGACTGTATTGTCAGGAAGTGGGTCATACCGTTGTGGGTCTTCAAAGGAGTCAGATTTCAAAGGCGATGCAGGGTGTAACATTGGACTTTTCAACGGGTGGCCATTCTATTCACCTGCAACTCAAAATCCATCTCATCTGGAGTCCAGCAGTCAGAGGAAACGCGAGGGGATCAGATTGCAGCCCCTGAAAGTTAGATCAGGTTTACTGGCCTCCATAAACTCCTTAGTGATAAAGTGTAAGCATGTGAATCTATTACAATGGTGGATCTTATTGTTTGTTGGTTTCTACTTCTGCACTTCAGGTTGTGGATCTGGGGTAGTCAAAGAGCGAATTACAGATAGTTAGAACCAAATCTGACTTATATGTCTGAACTAGGTCAGCTATGCCCTCTCATGTTTCCATTTGCATTTGGCTGTCAATAGTTTTGTGTTGCAAGCTGCAAGCTGAATGTAACAGACAGTTTAAAACCATTTTAAAACTCATCTGAATGGCAAACATCCTCAACAGATCGAGACAAACACCAGTGCCAATATTCCTTTAAAGGGCCTGCTCACATGATGTTTATTTGGTTATTTCTTTGTTCTTCTTCACACATCACATGTCTCATTGTCTCATATTTCATCTCAAGCATGTTCCTCACTACAAGATCTGTCACAACTTCTCTTTCATTGCGACTGTAAACATGTAATTGTGGGTATTTGGTAACACTTTATTTTTATTACATGTTACGTGTACTTACTATAGAACTAACAGTAGTTTATGCATAATTACATGCAACTAACCCTAAACCAAACTGTAATCCTAAACAATATGGTAAGTAACAGACTTGCTCTCCTCAGGAGTATTAAATGCAAGTCATGTTGAGAAGTTTATCATGTTGTTAGTTAATATTGCTCTGTACTTCATTCTATAATTAAACTGTAACAAGGACATCTTCAAATAAAGTGTAAACAAATATTTTTACGATTGATTTCCATAGTTGAAGATCAAAAGTTTGGGTCTGACACGAAGGCAGAACAATAAAAGCATCTGAAGAGTAGCAAAAGTGTAGGATGAAGGCATAATGAAAAATTCTATAGATACTGTTCTTCATATAACAATAAATTAAATTTAAATCCCTAAATTTGAGAAACACAATTTTGTGATTTTGTGTTGATTTCACCTATAATGGTTTGTTGATGAGCACTAATGGTACGCTTTTAGAATAAGTTCAGATTCATCTTGTGCATTCCTAGCTGTGATAATGACAACAACAGAGTTAATTACTTGTGTTTTAGGAAATGCAAGCTGGGACAAACCCAACGAATGTAAAGGTTGTGTATTTGATTTGTCTATGTGATTGGAGTCTGAATCTGAGAGCAGTCTCTCTGAAGTCTGGATTAGGCCCAGAAGCCTTTATCCTTAACTAGCACTCTCTCCCGGACACGGACTATAGAGTGTGGTGTGGATTTGAGGGAATTAGGGACCGTCTGACCAAAATAGTATGCTCTACGTCATTCAGTCTCGACCCTATTGTTGACTTTGTGTATGTGTCTGTACACTGCTTGAAAAATTGTCATCTCTGTGAAGAGGTTTTTTTATTAACCTCTGTGAATGTTTATCTTTTTGCGTTTTATATTGGGAAGAAATAGTTGTGCGTTACCTCTATTATAATGTACTAGCTGCGCAGGACATCATAATAGAGTTATATTGTGGCATAGCCTAGCGTATGAAGTAGCCTACATTTCATATTTTGCTTGTGCTACCTTTTCATGCTGTCCTGGCTTTTTGCATAACAGTGTGATCTCCAACATTCATAATTTCATTAAACTAAACAACTGGCTACCTCAGCAAAACAATGTCGGAGAAATATGTGAAAGTTTGCAAATGCAGATTCACACATCTGAAAATATTTTGAAATTTGTGAACGCACACGCGCATTTATTGTTTTTCGTTTGTACATTGTATTGTGTGCATTTGAGTATGTCTTTTTAAATATTTTATTGTAAACATATCTATACTGATAATATGTTTAGTATAGCATATAGGTATTTTATATTTAAGAAATAAATCATGAGTTCATTGAGAGTGATTGTCCTCTCTGCTGAACTAATCCCTCAGCTTGCTTAATCATGGCTTTCTTCTCTCTCATAGCGTCTGATCTGATAAGCATTTACTCCTCTCTGTAATTCATGCATATTGGGTTTCTTCGACCAACCTCTCTTGCAAGCACTAGGAATTTTGTACAGAAACTTGTGGATGTAGTATCAATAATTCAGTGTTAGTAGGGTACAATTATATACAGCAGAAGCAACAACAACTTTAAAAGTACCAGTTACATTTTTGTTTAACATTCTTCCCTAAATTACATGACAATTGTGTCATTATTTATTCACCCTCATGTTCCAAATGCATATGATATGCGTATGCTTTTGCGCATGCGTATAATTGCTGTTGCTTGACAGAAAACAACAGAGACATGAAACAGTAGCTCATCTCGTCCTCCATGAGGGTCACACAGCATCAACTTTTAACACTGCATTTATTAATGCTTTAATGCATTAATAATTAAATACACCTCCTCTAAGGGACACAATGGTCATTTATCACTACAGATAGTTTGTGCCTTTTCTTGTGGATCTTAACATTTTTTTTGCAAATAGCTACAGGATATGTCTGATTGGTTAACCCACAGGACTCCCAAATTGGACTTATGGTTGGCCTCAAAAAGGCTGTGGCAAAACATCAGATGGCTCAAATTCAAAGAATACGGCAGGGATCTTCAACCTTGCTCCTGGAGAGCCATTGCCCTACAAGGTTTAATAAGACCAAACTCAAATTTTCAAGTGATCCTAAAGACCTTGTGTAAATGGTTCAGGTGCGTTTGATTAAAGGGACATATTATATGGGATATATTGTCAAAACTGAAATTTCCTGGCTTTTTTCACGATAACAGGTCTAGGGGCTATTTAACTACCATATAAGTTTCAAAACAGTCAGTCCACTGTAAAATGCACACAGCCTGCATAAAGTAGCTGTGACGAACCATTGTGACTTCCGTAAAAAGTTGACGTCACCGCCTTCAGTCACCACCCCGAGCACCGCCCACCATCCCACTCTCCTTTTGCCAAACCCCCAGACAACATCGCATTCCTATGCCATTGCTGAGCAACAACAACACGGAAACATGTCGAAAAGGTTAACTTTAACCACAAAACCAGATCGGCCGACCTGTAACGTTACACTCTCACTCAAAGGATGGACTATCTGACAGGATTGTTACTATGAGGTGGATCACATCTAGCGTGTATAGTAAAGACAAACTCACCGTGTCTATCTAGTCATGATAAAGATGTTTTTCAATTTCCGCAGGCAATTATTTTAACAGCTACATTATTGTTCCAGCCACAATTTATCACAACAATGTATATACAATTACAAATGAGAATATATAAATCGTCAGTTTGTTGTTTTACACACATGCACACAGACATTATTTCATACACGACAGTCGTGAGATGCAAGAAACATAGACATATGGCAAGAAATCTGTAGACGTGCCCATAACAACAAAATACAATACTTTATTGAACCTTTTCTGATAAGAAGTGTACGCTGCAAATGCGAGCATTTTTGACGATCGTTTC